GTGGTGGTGCACATTAAACTCTAATTTGCTGGTCATAACATACTGGAAAATACCCAAAATGCCCCGGAAGTGTGTGCCAGGTCAAATGGTTCCGATCAGTGAGTGTGTGGAAAGGGGGGAATGGGTGTCTAAAGTTTACTTAAGCCATATGTTAATAGTATTTACGTAAAATTGGTTGTTCAAGAGAGAGTCATCAAAATTCATAATACCGTCTTGCCTTACTGCTTTGCTCCAATTCACCATTTAGTATTAGTCCACACCACCTAAAGGAAACAGGCCGCTGCAGCCTGTAAGGCGCCCATTTCTTATTATACTCTTTACATTATTTCCGCTTTGTACAAATTTATGGCACTGAACGTTTTTAAAGAGTCATAGATTGCAAATGATTTAAACTGTTTGCCATAAGACTTGGTAGTAAGATATAGCTTGTTCACTTTCGTCTGACAGAGTTTAAAAGAAATTAAAATTAAATCGGTCTATTCAATCTTCTCAGATCTTTGCCTATGGGTATAAAAGTTTGCTGACCAACAGAATCTAAAAGCCCATTCTTAAAGTTCAATGCAAACTAAAGTTTCGAAACGTTTTCTTAGATGTAAGCCTAAAGCGGGTCCAAAAAAAATGTAAGTTGACATATTTTTCTCAACACCACACCTAATTCATGAGACGGGGTGAGTAATTTTCGAGGCCCACGTGGAGCACACGGAGTCGTCTAGACAGCCGAGGGATGAAATCTATAAGCAAATACTGAAATGTGGGGACAGGGTGGGACAGGGTGGTGTCGCTGTCTCAAAATGAGCAATTTGCAGACAAGGTTACTGTGTAAGTCATTTATTTTAGTGATCCTGTTCATGCTTCCAAACAGCGGGTTTTAGTGTAGGGCCCAATGAGAAAAACTTTTTTAATACTGGATCAGGATTTCTTTTTAAAGATATTTTTGTTTGGTCGCTGACCTGCAGAAGTACTAGATCTAGATTTATGCAAAGTTTCGTAGGCATAATTATATAAATTAATAATAGAGCTAGATATAGATCTAGATCTAGAGTCTAGATCTAGAAATTTTTTACGCGATCAGACGAAAGTGAAGAAGCTATTTATATTATTTTATTTTATTTGACAGTTTATCCTGTGCCAAGATAGTGATGATTCACCCCTCCTCGCCCCCC